TTAGGTGTGTCGTTTGGGGCAATAACCCCACTGTTAGAAAGTAATCTCGAACGTACGTGCTGCTGTATTATTTACTACTCCCTCCGTTCCTTATTATAAAAGACGAATAACCGAATTACGTTGATCAAAAAAGCAGTTAAAATTAGTTAAGAACAATCAATGTATAAAAAATATAATCTTTTTTTTCAAAAATACCCTTATTAATAAGGAGAGAGAGTATGAGAGAGAACAATTAAATTATTGAAAGAAAGAGAAGTGGGAGGGAGAGAGAGTGTGAATTGGAGACCATAAATATGGGTAAAATAGGAAATCAACACAAAAAAGTAGAGATAACTTTTAAGTGTCTCTTATATATAGGAACATGCCATAAGCATCAAATGTCTCTTATAATAAGGAACGGATGGAGTATTTATGAAGGTGATTTTCCCTGGGCAAACACATTAATTAGGAACGTCGACATATAATAATATAAGGACTTTGTCAAGGACGTACGGGATAGTATATATCTTTTTCCCTTGCATTGATTTTATGATTCAATTACCAAAGAAATTGAGATTTACTGCTTGATTTTTAATGAAGCATCCATATTTTAGAACTCAAATAATAAGCGAAATATAAAAATGGGATTTTAAATGTTTTACTGATGAGTTTCTTTAACTTATAAATTATCTAATAATAAAATAATGTTAACATTGACAGCAATATCAAGCACATTTTTTCAGCTAGTATAGGCTCATTATTCATCAAACAAATTTTAGTTAGCTATCCTGCTCATATCATTTTAGTTAATCTCAGGGGGTTTGATTTAAATACATAAACCTGTATTTAAAAAATAATTGAGTGGTAAAAAATATACACATTAGAACAGAGGACCAATTATTTATTATGCTTCAAGCGAAAAAATTTATCCTAAAATGCCGCACTTTGAGAAGAAATTTACTAAGCTACTACTAATTTGTATGGAGATATTGTAACGCCAGAGTCTCGTTGTCCCAAAGTCGGATTTAAATAAAGTGGACTTCGTTAGAAGTTAGAATCAAAGATAATTCTCTATTTTAATGGAGGTTTTTCTCTCTCTTGCTAGAGGTGCCGGTGATTGGGGATCGTTTCACTTGGGAGAAAAGTGGAGTCAGAGAATGACTAGACTAGGTCTTTTGTAATTTTCAATGGGAATCAACTCACCCCCTGATGAAGGCCCTACATCTGTTGAAATACAAGTCTGACCATCAAGTCCTTGTAGTGGGAAAGCCATCAGACGGATCTAATAGAGTTCGACAATCCCCTTTTAAATACCAAGCGGCTTGGTGCCTTGAAGAAACTTTTGGTGAGATTGTTAAATCATCCTGGGGAGACAAAAATTGGGAAGAGGGATGCAGAACTTTCCAGAATAAAGTCAGTGCCTGGAATAAGGATGTGATAGGAAGCATACCAAGATGAAAGCGAGAAACCATAAGGAGACTAGAAGGGATTGACAGATGCAAGCAAGCAGGCTCTCCAAATGGGCTCTGTAAACTTGAACGAAGGCTGTGGAAGGATTACCAACAGCTCTGTCATCAAGAGGAACTCATCTGGTACCAAAAGTCTCGATGTAAGTGGCTTCAGTATGGAGACAGAAATAAGGTTCTTTCATGCTACAACGGTAATAAGAAGGAAAAAGAAGAATATTGAGGCACTGCAAGACGTGAATGGGGAGTGGTTCACAGATGCTGATAACTTAAAACAAATAGTAGTGGATTATTTCACCAATTTGTATACAAAGGATAATTCAGTGACAACTTGTCTAAACTGGCCATTGAGTTTCCGTAGCTAGATACGTCTCAACTTGATTTCATTCAGAGGGAAGTTACAGCCATTGAGATCAAGAATACAGCGTTTGAAATGGGTGCCTTCAAAGCACCGGCCCAGATGGCCTTCAAGCCCATTTCTTTTAGACCCAATGGGAGTTGGTAGGAGACAAGGTTTGTAACCTGATACAAAATTCGTTCAGGAACCCGGAAAGCATCAAGAGCATTAATCAAACAAACATCATCCTGATACCTAAGGTAGACCATCCAACAACTCTTAAGGAGTTACGACCTAGTTCTTTGTGCAACGTCTGCTTTAAGATAATCACAAAACTCCTTGCGAATAAGCTGAAGGGAGTTATGGGACGACTGGTCAAACTGAATCAGTGTAGCTTTATTCAAGGAAAACAGAGCTGCGATAATATAATTATTGCCTAGGAAGCTATACACACAATGAGATCTAAAAGGTCTGACAAAGGATATGTTACTATTAAAGTGGATATGGAGAAAGCCTATGATAGATTAGACTGGCATTTTGTGGAAAACATGTTAACCTCTCTGGGGTTTGCAAATGCCTTTGTGAATATCATTATGCAGTCTATCTCTACAGCTTCTATGAGAATACTTTGGAATGGTAATCCCTCCATTGAGTTCTATTCGTCAAGGGGGATTCGCCAAGGGAATCCTCTGAGGCCCTACCTCTTTGTTTTGTGCATGGAACGACTGGGATAGATCATATCCCATGAAGTCAAACAACAGTGATGGAAACCGTTGAAGTTGAGCACTCAGGGACCAGCTTTATCTTATCTCTTTTTGCCGATGACCTGGTGCTGTTCAACGAGGCCTCCTCAGCCCAAATAGAGGAGATTAGAAGAGTCATGAAATTTTTTTACGGAATTTCAGGACATAAAATAAATGTACACAAGTCAAAATGTGCACTTCAATAGAGCTTATGAGTATAGCCAGATGCTTCGTATTACTTTGTGCGTAGACTTGGGTAAATACCTCGGAGTCCCCCTATTACATAAAAGAGCAGTTAAACTCCACTATGCTCCCATCATTCATAAGATTCATAAGAAGCTTGCCGAGTGGAAGGGAAATTTTTTAAGCGTGGCAGGGAAGACGTTACTGATAAAGTCAGTTTTATCCAGTATCCCAGCTTACCAAATGCAAACTCTCCTCTTGCCAAAAGGGGTCCTACAAGAAATTGATAAGATTAATCAAGACTTCTTCTGGAACCATAGCCAAAGCAACAAACGCATGCATATGATAGCTTGGGATACAATCAAGAAAAGCAAGGATTACGATGGCTTAGGTATTAAGGACTTGGTTTGCCAAAATACCGCTTTCATAATGAAACTTTGCTGGGGATTGTTGACGAAAACGGAAGCCTTATGGGTCAAATGCCTTAGAAGCAAATATGACTGTGGTTGTGAGAAACTCCCAAAAGTTGAGAAAAAAAAGAGAACAGTTAGCAGTTTGGAACAGTATTGTAAAAGTCTGGGATTCTTTCTGCAAGGGTGTGGGAAGTAAATTAGGCAACAGAGTGTCCACAAATGCTTGGGGGGAACGGTGGTGCCCTACAAATCTACCTCTCATCCAGTATGTTGAGAAAAACTTGCACATAATCGATCCTGAAGACAATGTGAAGAGTTTTGTGACAGCAAATGTTGACTAGGACATCATGAAGTGGCCAAACTTCTTACCGCACTGGGTTGTGGAGAGGATTAAACTAGTTAAACCTCCAAATGGTGTGGATAATGATTGCTTCTATTGGAGGAATTCCTCAGACGGGAGCTTCAATGTAAAGTCAGCGTACAAAATGATGTTTGAACAACAGCAGAATCAAAATGAAACACATTGGAACCGTATCTAGCGTTGGCCTATCTCTGAAAGAGCAAAAGTCTTCATACGGCAAGTTTTCCATGAGTGAATACCTACCAATGCTCTTAGATACAAGAGAGGAGTGAGTGAGAATCCCTACTGTCCGTTTGAGTGTCAAAGAGAGGAATCTATTATTCATACACTTCGTGACTGTGAGGAAGCAAAAAGAGTGTGGATTTATTTTATTGACCCAATGTTTATCTCTGGTTTTTTTTCAACTGATTTATAGGGATGGCTTAAATGGAACAGTAAACATAATCCTAGCACAAGACGATTTGCTCGCTAGCCGTGGCTTAAAATCTTTGGAAGTATCTGTTGGCTCATTTCGAAGAACAGATGTAGGAAGGCCTTGGAAGGGACACACGAACAAGCAGGCGAGGTGATCAACAAGGGCATCCACTATTTTATGGAGGAAACATCAAATAACAGGTATAAACACAAAATATACCAAGTGCTTGAAAGGGAGGAATGCAAGTGGGCGAGACCGAAGGAGGGCTATGTCCGTGTTGATGTAGATGGCTCGGTAGACAGCAGGAGAAATGCAGCTTGCGACGGGGTTATTAGGGACGATCAAGGCAAATGGCTGTGTGGTTTCCAACAAAACCTTGGTTTTATTCCATCCACAACTACGGAATTGCAAGCCATTTGCATTGGGCTTCAGGTTGCTAAACAATCGGGCTTCAAGAAAGTTCAACTATTCACAGATTCAATCCAAGCTGTTCAACTACTGATGAATGATCATGGAAACTTCCACCCGATAGGTGATGTGATCGACAGAGCGAGGTTGCTGATCTTCTCCAATTGGGACCTTGAGATATCTTTCTCGCACAGAGAAGCGTTAAAATGCGCTGATCTCATTGCCGAGAAGGCCCACCAATCAAACTTTTCAAACACGTTGCTTCAAGACCCTCCCCCTGAGTGTCTTGAGCTCCTTGTCAATGACCTTCTTTAGTTCTCCTTTCTTTATATTTCTATTTAGTTTGGTTTTCTTCCTTAGTTTTTAGGCTTTGTCTTTTGTTGTAATTTCAAGCTATCTTGCCTTTCGATTCAAAAAAAAAAAAAAGAATAAAGTGGACTTCGAATATTCAATGCCTTTTTTTAAAATTCTTTTGGCCACAACGAGAGTACGTGACTCAAAATCTGCTTATTAGAATTTGACATTTATATTTCAGGCCGAAAGAAGAAGATTTTTTTTCACCAGGGAAAAAAAAAAGAATTTATAATGTTTTTGCCATCATATATATATTTTTTAAAGCGAACCAGATGCTCGAGACGAGTCATTAACCGCCAGATTCTGGTGCTTTTTGAATCTGTGAATTACGCGGGGTTAAGGGTTCAGTGTTCCTATTTTCCCACTGAGCCCACTCGACTAACCTGAAACCCTAACTCATGCTTTCGTGATTCAGAGTGTTACATCTCTGTTACCGTGCAATTTCACTCAGTTTGGTATAAAGTTACAGTAACTTAATCGGTGAAAATGGCGATGGCTGGCTTGTACAGGCGGTTACTTCCTTCCCCGCCTGCGGTAGAATTCGCTTCATCTGAAGGAAAGGTTTGTCGCACTTGTTTTACCCTCCACCTACATTCCTCTGTTTGTGCAACTGCTTAAATCGGGGTATTTTCTGGGATGATTGTCGGCTTGTTGACTTGTTGCATATATTTCCAGTTTGAGATGATGCGGCTTCAAGCTTTGAAATAGATTGTGTAGTAATAATTGAATGTTTCTCTGATCAGACATTGTTACGTTTGGTTTTGGATTTTTCCATGCATATTATCATCTCTTTTTAATTCACGAGTCAATAACCCAATTTCGTTGGCTTCCAGCAACTTTTTCTTGAAGCCATTCAAAATGGAACAATGGAAGGATTTTTTAGATTAGTTTCTTATTTTCAAACACAATCAGAGCCTGCGTACTGTGGATTGGCAAGCTTATCCATGGTCTTGAATGCTCTTGCTATTGATCCTGGAAGAAAATGGAAAGGTACGCGTATAGTTTCACGAGCAATTATACTTTACGGTGCACCTTTGACTCCATAGACGATAACTTTATTCTAGGTGATTGAGGAGCTAAGACTTGATGTAATTCCACTGTCGTGGCTCATAAAAACTTCCCAAGCTTTAGTTAGTTAAGTTGATATTATTTTTCATTATCCTCAAGAGTCCTCCAATTTCCTGGAAAAATATTGATGGGAATTGGATCATGCCATTTGTCCATTCTAAGAGGAATGATTCAATTAATCTTATACCAATATAGTGTGTTTACATGTTGCTTTCTTCTTTATATTCCTTCGTTCCATGGCTACATCCTGACATATTAATGTCTTGTCACAGTGTGGGGCTAGTGGCTGCTCATTTTTTAATTTCTTGCCACACCTTATCATCTGCAGCAAAAATTCCTTACACTGACTGCAGTATCTTCTTTATAAGTAATTGAATTTAATATTTGTTAATGTTGTCAAACGTATTGCTCTTGGAAAATTTGTCTACAGGTCCTTGGAGATGGTTTGATGAATCTATGTTGGACTGTTGTGAACCTCTAGAAAAGGTCAAAGCCAGAGGTATCTCATTTGGGAAGCTTGTATGCTTGGCTCATTGTGCTGGAGCAAAAGTTGAAGCCTTTCATACGAATCAGAGCAACATTGATGACTTTCGCAAATATGTGATGAGATGTTCAGCTTCTGATGATTGTCATATAATCTCTTCATACCACAGAGCTGTTCTCAAACAAGTATGTATTACTACTTTGATGCTGCAGGAAATGACAAAATTTTGTTGCTTTGTTCATTGTTATTCACCATTTTCCACTCTGTGATGTTCCCATTACCAATGGTTTTGAATCTATAGCTTTTACGAGGTTAAGAAGTTGCAAATTTTCTATTGCCCATGTCTATTATTACCAGTAATTGAGTATTTCTATTTGAGCTTTACAAGATGAGCTTCTCATATACCATTACCCAGTATCCTTGGTAATATTGATATGTTCTATTGTGGAATAGCAAGAATAGTAATTAAATTTTCATGACAGACTGGAACTGGTCATTTTTCTCCTATTGGTGGCTATCATGCTGGAAAGGACATGGCCCTTATTTTGGATGTTGCACGTTTTAAGTATCCTCCTCATTGGGTCCCACTTACCCTTCTCTGGGAGGGCATGAACTATGCTGTCGAAGACACCGGACAACCTAGGGGGTAGAGTTTCTTGAATCTGATTTTATAAAATTTCTGGTTAGTTTAACATGGTAAAGATGATTGAGATCAGCGGTTGCATCACTATTTGCTCAAGGATGATATGGAAAGAGGAGTGATTTTCTGTACAATAGATTTTTTTTTTTTTTTTGGTAATTGGACCTGGTAATTGTATGATGCTTCTTTTCTTTATGGCTATCTCAAAACTGGAAGACCTGTTGAAATCAAATCATGATAATTTATCTTTATGAAGGAGGTAGCATGAAATTTAGGTTCAAGTTACGGGAGATTTCTGATACATAAGGTATGGATCTTCTAAAAGGCGTCTTGTTGGGGTTAATACAGCAAATTCAACCTTGGTTTTTGTTGACTGGTACAAATTCATTGTCTTTTCTTTCACCTCCTTGTAAAACAAAATATATACTAAAGGAATACATTACTCATGCAAATTTTGCTCATTTCTTCATGTCATTTCCCTCTATTTTATAGTCTACTTTTTTTCTCTTGGTAAATGAAGAAATAACGCATTTAATGGGAGATTATATTTACTTCTGTTAGTTTCTATCCACAGGTTCATGCTTATATCAAGGCCTCACAGGGACCCTGGTATGCTTTATACCCTGGTATGTTGCATCTGTTATAAAGTCAGTCAAAACATCACAAACAAAGTAAACAATCAAGAGTTTTGTTGCGGGTATCACATTGTTGGATAGTTCTCCCTACATTGATTTGTTGGATAATTCTTTTTTCCTCTCTGAATTCGAGCATGAAGAGTGAAGTATAGGGCTTGCACAGATGTACAATTAGAGATTCCTTCATTGTTATTGTTTGTCCATTAAATCATGATCCTTTCACCATCCTTCATCAGTTGGGCATATTTTGTTTATGTATGTTATGCTCGTTTAATTTGATTGCTGATGTTGGTCATTGGATGTATTATGCACTTTTGCTGAAGATATGTGTTGTTCTTGAACTTGTAGAGCTGCAAACATGAGAGTTGGATTAGTATTGCAAAATTCCTTATGGATGATGTTCCCCTTCTACTAAAATCAGACGACGTGAAGAATGTTCACAAGGTGCTCTCAGTTGTAGTCAATTCGCTTCCATCTAATTTTGGGGATTTTATCAAGTGGGTTGCAGAAGTCAGGAGGCGAGAGGATGGTAGTCCAAGTTTGAGTGTAGAGGAGAAAGCTAGGGTTTCTATTAAGGTAATGGTTATACTTTATCTAATTGTCATGTTTCTGTCCATCAGTAGTTAATCCTATTTTATGCTCATAGTTTTAAGAGGTACATTTTGTTCTGCAGGCAGAAGTATTGAAACAGGTGCAGGAGACTCGGCTTTTTAAACATGTCACTTCTTTTCTATCAAATTCTTGTTGTAGGCTGCCCTCTATTTCAGGTCACGGAGACACTTTACCTGACATTGCAGCAAATGTGTGTTGCCAAGGAGCAGAAATTCTAGGCGGGAAGCTCAGCTCATCGGCAGTGTATTGCTGTAGAGAAACATGTATGAAATGCTTGAAAGCAGAGGGTGACAAGCCAATCACAATGGTCTGTGGGACTGTAGTAAATGGTAACAATGAACAAGGGGTTGATGTTTTAATTCCTTCTCCTCAAGGACCGTGTTGTGATTGCTCTGGTCCAAGTAAGTACATTGAGATGCACCCAGCTAGCAGTGACGTGCTTACAGCACTGCTACTCTCGCTGCCATCTACAACGTGGATTGGCATCAAAGATGGGCAAGTCCTGAAGGAAATACATGAACTTGTTTCAATTGATAACCTTCCTACTTTGCTGCAAGAAGAGGTAAGAAGCTCTCATTTTCTTTTGATAAAAAAAGGCTACTTTTACGTTAGCAAGTGTGATTGTTAATTATATTGTCTGCAATGATATTTTTGAAACATCATTGCTTAATCTCGATGCCCAGGCATGCTGAATAGTAATATCTGCGTCATTCTATGCAATCGTTTATAATCACTAATTCACAAATATCTATATATCTTGCAAATAGGGAACTGTGCATTTTAGTCCTAGGAAGTGCTTGAATGAGGACAAGTTAGAGATCAACAAATGCCTCTGGACGATTTTTCCCGCCCTGGTCCCCCAGTAAACCTGAATTATTGTCTATACAATCTTGGTGCACTAAGCTATAGTGGAATAGGCTGATCATTAACTGAATACGTTGCTGTCACTTTTCAGAACATTGGCTTCTATTGCTAATTCTACTCTTTCCTGTTTCTACCTTTTTTTGTTGTGATATTTCCTGTTTCTACATTTCTTATCATAAATATATCCATCCCAGGTTTTGCACCTAAGAAGTCAGCTTCATATGCTAAAGAAATGTCAAGAGAACAAGGCAGATGAAGATCTTGCTGCGCCTGTCTCCTAGCATCACCATTTCTCATTTTCTTCATCGAGCCCATGTATCCGTAAGACAGGCATTGTGAATTCAATAATTTAGGCACACCTTGCCGAAGCAATGTCCTGCGTCCAGTTATTTGTCCGAAAATAACTGGTATCTGGAACCCCTTGGTATCCGAAAATACCAAGGGGTCAGTTTTAAGGTTTAGGTAAATCATGTTATACAGACTACAGACTGAAGTTCTCGCTGGAACTTGCTTTGCACACGAGATTCAAGCATCTGGAGCACTGCCAGCTCACTTCATCACCCTATTAAGTTGTCCGGTATTATAAAGTCACTTGACGTGACTACTGTCTATTGGAGAATAAGGAAGCCTGTTGGTCAAAAAATTTATGGCAAGTTTTCACATTCACTTGTATTTTTTGAATGTCTCATTTATTCAACAGTGCGTGTTTGAATACTATTTAAACTTATTTTAAATAGCATGGTTACAATTGAAAGTGGTTTCATATATTTGGTAATACACTGGCGGCTTGCATTTTTTTATCCTTCTTAATGACGTGGTGGCATGGATTTTTCTTACTTCGTAAATCATGTTCCGCAAAGCTATCTATTATTGACCTTTCACATTTATTCTCTACGCAAATGATTAGGGAAACAAGGATTCTTCAATTTCCATAAAGTTTTTCTCTGTTACTATTTTCTATCTGTATAGACAAATAGTTTGTGGGTTATTGCTATGATATTGTCGTAAAATCAACAAATAAATTCTGTCTAGCAAAGACGACAATCAAAACGTAGTGAATGAATTGACTCTTTGTATGATTTTATTCGATCCCAAGAGAAGTCAAAAAAGAATGGGAGGATTAGTCCCAAGAAGAAAAATAATTATTAAAAAATCCTAATAACAATTTGAGTAGGGTATAGTGACAAATTTTAAAATAAAGCGACAATTTTTTAGATTTATTTTGTAATTTTTTTTCTCAGAATTTTATTATAATTCTCTCAAAAAGAATTTGATATGATAACTAGACAAGGCCGAATTAGACATTTCAAAACAATATATAATAAAAAAATGGCATTAAAAAGGTTATAAATTATTAACAAGGACTTTAAAAGTTAAAATACTTGTAATAACTCATTCTTCAATTGTTTTATTTTATAACATTGACAGAAAAGTTATAATTTTTAAAATATTATCAATATTTTTAATTATAAATTTTATTTTTATTGAAAAATAATTATAATTATATTTTTAAAAGAATTTAAATAGTAACAATTTATTCTATCGGTCTCCATTCTTTTTTTTAATAGAAAACAATTAAAATGCATTAATTAATTATAGAAAAAAGTAATACAAGAGTATAACTAAATACTACATCTGATTTTTAATATAAAAGCTAATTGACTAATTTAAGTAAATTAAGAAAGTTTATTAAATTTGTTATTTGTAATAAATAGGTGTTATTTTTTTTAGAATATCTTTACTAATAATGTTTATTAGCTAAAACTATCATTTGATGTATGTGTTCCTAGGAAAAGAAATTTATTCATTTTTCGAGGTCTCCAAGGGCGTGGAAACATATAAGAACTCTTGAATTGAAATGAAAAAATAAATGTAACTCCAGTTACTTCGAAAAACATTTAACACATAAAACTACTATAAGAGTTACTCTAAAAAAATAAATAAATATGAAAGATAAAATAAATCAGAATCTTATATTTATAATTAAATTAAATATCAAAAGAAGAGGCGAGAAATAAAATTATAGAGAAGAAGGTGCCTGCATATGGGGCGCTATTATTGACTCTCTCCCTCCCACTGTTTTCCCTAACATAAACGTTGACGGTGTTTCAGAAGTCAAATAGCAGCTTCTTATGCACGCAAAACGGGACCGCGCCCCACGTCGAAATTCAAATAAATTGTCGACGGGATTAAAAACGAAGCAAGACTGAACAGGCCGAAATTACTTTCAGTGTCGTCTCAAGATTCACGATGGCAACTCCAAGTCTCTACCGAAGAGCCCTCCCTTCTCCCCCCGCAATCGAGTTTGCTTCTCCCGAAGGAAAGGTATATCGCCACAAAATTCAGAAGAAAAAGCATCAAATCCCTAATTTTGGCAATTTAGATCCATTCTTCAAATGATTTTGTATGATGAAGGATCGTGAGGTTGTGCAGAAAATTTTTGTGGAAGCTCTCGCACAAGGAACCATGGAAGGCTTCTTCAAATTAATTTCATACTATCAAACGCAATCTGAACCTGCGTACTGTGGACTGGCCACACTTGCAGTCGTCCTTAATGCACTTGCTATTGACCCTGGTAGAAAATGGAAAGGTGTGTCTTTCAGTGCTTTCCTTTTCTTTTCGAATCAGGATTTCTAGATTACGTTGAGTTATGAAAGGATAATCAAATGCGACATCTAATTTGTATGGTAATGTATTGTAAAGAGCTTCTAATCCTTTGGAGAATCTTCACGTTTATATTACGTACTCATTGGATACCACCACGACACGTGTAACCTCTTTTTCTTGCCACAAAAGGAATTGTGTCAGGGTTTGAGATTGCCGCGAGCTTGCGTTGCGTTGCTTTATCGTACGTATCAATTTCCGTTGCGTCTTTAATTTTCAAGGACATGATGTATTAAGATCTATTAATTTCTTTACAAGTCGCCCCGTTGTCAGATAGCAACCGTGGTTTTCCTCTCTTAATTTCTAAGTGCACTTCTCACTTCTCTGTTTTAGTCTCGTGAAGCTTCAATGAATCATTGGGATGCTTGAATGGAGTTCACATTTCCTTGTATCTTGAACCTCTCGCAGATCCTTCAGGCGACAGACCTTTATCTGATGTTCTTTTGACCATGCTGGCTGCGCAGAGACTTTGTTAGACTGAAGTCACTAAATTAGTTGGCACGTTTGCTCCGTAGCCCCATACCAATTATGTCTCAACTTAAGTGCTATTATATTGCTTCTTAACAGGCCCTTGGAGGTGGTTTGACGATTCCATGTTGGATTGTTGTGAGCCTTTGGATAAGATTAAAGAGAAAGGCATTACATTTGGAAAAGTTGCGTGTTTGGCTCAATGCAATGGAGCTAAAGTTGAAGCATTTAGAACAAATGAAACGACGATAGATGATTTTCGCAAGAATGTAATTTCATGCAGTGCTTCAGAGGATTGTCATGTGATCGTATCATACCACAGAGGAGTGTTTAAGCAGGTATCGTTGTCAATGACAAGCTAAATATGTCTTCACTTAAATGTTTATACAGATGATGCGAAATGCCTTATTGTTTTGCAACAGACTGGAACTGGTCATTTTTCACCACTAGGAGGCTACCACGCGAAAAGAGATATGGTCCTCATCCTGGATGTTGCACGTTTCAAGTATCCTCCTCACTGGGTCCCGCTTACCCTTCTCTGGGAGGCCATGAATACTGTCGATAAAGCTACTGGACATTATAGGGGGTAAAATCTATTATCCTAACTTGCTTTTTGTACCGATGTTCATATTGAAATATAATAATCCATTATTGGTTTGTATTGTGATGGTGCTCCTTGCATGCTTCTGTCAAGATTTACTATGCTGGTCGTTTCTCTATTTTGGAAGTAAAGATTGCGCCCATGTGTTGATATTGAAGTCAACTTAGTGACCTTTCCATTGATTCATGTTATGAATATTTGACGTCAGACCACTTTGACATTTATCCCATCCCTGTTTCATAAATGTATGATGTACTCCCGCCTATTCTTCTTAGCGATGGACAAAGTCTTCTTAATAATGAAAAAGAAATTAAAATAAGGAAGTTCTCTATTTAATTGTTGTCAGGCATTAGTGCACTAGCTTGATTCATCTGTTTAAGTGCCTATCTGTAAGCGGCATTACAGTTTTCACCAATCTTTTTGTCGTAGTAGCATTGTGGAACTTAATTTGTTGGCGATAGGGCCGGAACTTACATAAAATCAAATGTTCATATCATCTATTATATGTATGGCTCACTTCGCATGCTTTAAATCCTTTCAACTTCTATTTATTTCTGTATTCTGTCCGCCAAAGTGGTTTTGGATGTCTGTCTGATTAGCAATTCTGATCTCAAATCGGTTATTTGAAAGTTGTGTTATAAGGTAATGTCAGTGTCACTAAGGCGTACTAGCTTTTGTGATGAAAATGTTATGATTTTGTTGTTTTCCTCCATTTACATTTGGAAATGTGTAATTTTCAGGTACATGGTTATTTCCAGATTTAACAGAGCAACATCAGTACTTTATACTGTGGTACTGTGACATTAATTTATCTCTGTCTAACCATTCTAGAACGCGTACTGTATTTCTAAACTAATGAATCTATACGAACTGTTAAGGAAATTTGATTTGACTTGCTATAAAACATGTCAAGTCAACAATGAGTAGGTCTTGCTTTTGTAATTATATCGCACTAAGGGAAATCTCAGCCTTCTACATGTTAATTGCATGGAATATTTTAAATATCATTTATCTGTGTTTCATTTACCTTTTATATTTCTTAAAGGATTCTTTCATGATTTTATTTTTTATAATTCTTCTTCTATTGACTCTTCAGTCTTTTGATAGCTTGTTCCGGTTTTTTTTTTTTTTTTGGGGGGGGGGGGTGCAAACCATTTATCCTAGTGTACAGCAAATGCCTCATTCAATTGAGACTATATGCAGAGTTGTAGACATGAAGGTTGGAACAGTGTTGCTAACTACTTAGCTGAAGAAGTCCCTCTCCTTTTGAAGTCAGAGGATTTACAAGACATTCAGAAGCTACTTTCTGTTATATTCAAGTCTCCTCCTATTGAATTGAGAGGGTTTATCACATGGATTGCTGAAGTTCGTAGACAAGAGGATGGAAATCTCACCTTGAGCGAAGAAGAGAGAGGAAGGCTTGCTATCAAGGTTTTTGACCTATTGTTCATTTCCTATTTTCCTTTACGGATAAAAGGGTTTTTTTTTCCTACTGAAAAATTAAAAAAATTTCATTTTCATATCGAAACCTTTATACATTGGAGAAAAATTTAACACATGGAAATGTAATAATTGACAGCTTTGGAATTTCAGGCAGAGATATTGGAACAGATTCGAGCAACTGCAATCTTCAAACATATAACTAGATGGTTGAATTCTGAAATTTCATGTTGCAGTCCTTATGCAAACCTTGATGATAAAGTCGTGTTACCTGCATTTGCTGCAAGTCTTTGTTGCCAAGGGGTGGATCTTTTGACTGGTTGTGATGGGGTAGGTTCGTCAGGTGGAAAACGCTGCAGTCAAATAAATGTACAACAGTTGCATGTCGATTCTGAAAATCCAGTGGCATTGGTTTCTGGAACCTTTAAAACTGGCAATAGTGAACAAGGGGTTGATGTTTTGGTTCCTCTTTGTCAAACGGGGCCAAATAGGTTGTGCATTTCCAATGAAGGACGCTGCATTGGATTGCACCCATCTACTGCAGATGTTTTAACAGTGCTTTTACTGGCCTTGCCCTTGCATACATGGTCAGGCATTAAAGAAGAAAAGCTGCGGGTGGAAGTTACAGACCTTGTAACGACTGAAAACCTACCTCCCTTGCTTCAGGAAGAGGTAGTAGCCTCTTTTTCAACATTATCTTCTTTTTTAAGGTTTGCTTTATGTCCGGTTATATTTGCTTACCTGAGGCCCTTATCGTAAAACCAGTGACTTCTGTTTTTCCCTTGTTGGAAAAAAAGAGTTTGCTGCCATGTTATGGTGAGATATTATGTATTGTTATATTTAATTAATAGCTAATAGCTGATCATAGAGTAAACTGAGAATGAACTGATCCTCAGCTAGCCATTGGTGAATTCTTTCAGGCATTGTTCTTGCGAGGGCAACTCAAATTTCTCATGACTGATATCAGTGCTTCGCCTTCATCATGATATTTTGGTGTTGGGTTTGTAACAACTAATTATAATTCCATTAGATACTGATTAGGCCTTTTAGGCATGCCATTGAACTTGGGATCAATGCAGTTCCTCGGCCTTTCAAGTGTTCCTTCGTCCACCCTTTATCATGAATAACAGGCAGACTCTGCGGGTGGGACACGACAATAATTCATACGCCTCTGAAAATGGAGGACTCCCTGGTGGTATTCAATTAAGCATTTTTGTTGGCATCCATTGTTGGATTACTAGTTCTCATCACAGAGATAGCTTTTTTGCAAAATTTGACACGAATTCATTATTGTTATATGCTCTATTACTTAATCTATAAGTTAATACATGATATATACTTCAAATACTAGAAAATTCTGACTAGTTGACTGCTCTCCCCTACAACATTCCGTTTGAATGGTTGATCAAGAATGTGATATCATGTCTTTAATTATTGGCTTGGTGTAAAATGAAGGCGGATAGAAGGTGACTATAAAATAAGCAGCTATAATTTAACAGTTCAACGCCTGGCAAATGGCGGGAAGAAGATTCAAGCAGGATTTTTCATAGAACTAACTTGCTTTAAAGAAACTGTTTAGTTTTACTTTCTGGTCACTGATGGGTGCAGCAAACCATGTATCGGCTGCAGTCGGAGAGGAACTGACCCTCAATTTGCATTCAATCTTTCTTCTTTTCCTTTTCATTTTAATAAATTATAAGAAGTAACATTTCTGGCTTCAGCATCAAAACGCTTGCCGAGCAAAGCAACGGTGATGATGCATTAGGGATTCGCTCAATTGACCTGCGAGCATTTTAACTTTTGAGAACATCCGTAACACTAACAGTGAAGGGGTATCACGTCCAGTACCAGATAGAAGGGACAAGGAAAAGGATCATTTGGTGGGAAAATAAAACCTTAGAGGCAGAGGAGAGGATCGTACATGGGAATCACTCTGGGGACAATGGGACACCAGATAACTAAGGCCTTGTTTCTTCTTTAAAATATAGTGAGTGTGGAGGATGATAAGAGTTGTTGTTTTTTCTGATTTTACTTAGTTTATTTAGTTATATAGTGTTGATGTAGTTTGTTTGGACGGCATTCAGTTATTATCAAAGCTAGTTCAAATTGCACGGGTACGAATTCACCATCCGTTTAGGTTTTCTTTGCGTTATCTTTGGTCCTATCTCATGTTTTTTTGCATGATGATCCTTCTTCTACAACGTCGTGGGGTCCCCTCTCTGGATAGTGGGATCTTCATTCATTGTTTGGTTTTTTTTTTTCATCGGTCACTGTGAATTTGATTGCCTCTTCGAGGGCTATAAATATGATTGCGATCCGTGAGTCATTTTTTTCAAACTCAAAAGACCAAGGCATGTGAGTTGCAAGGTGGCAGAACTAAGAAGCCTCTCTCCCATCCCTTTCCTCTGGCATAGTATGCTCCAATACTAGATTTTCAAACATGTATTGAAAATGATTTGGAGCTTATTCTACTTTTTTGTGGCACTCGTTATCACCATAATGATAGGATGGCTTTATTTTTAGTAAGAATGGGTATACACGTGAATACTACATGAACTAAGTTTTTGCGTGGACCCAAAAAATTCTCCAAGTCCAACTCCAACCTACAACTACAAGCTACCAAATTTTAGACCTCTACTTGCTCTTATTCAGAACCACAAAACTCATTGTACCGTTCAAATCTCTAATATGTTCAATTGTGGAAGCAAATAAACTGATAGCTATCCATACAGGGCTAGAAGTTGGTAAATGGGTTTTTACAATACTGTTATCTACTCTGACTCTGATTTTTTTTTTTTATATTACAAAGGCAAGCTTAGAGCTTGAGATAGTTCAAGGATAGTCAACTACCCGTACAAGTCAACTAGCTATTTCGGGCATGAGATGGAATAGGATCTTGTGCATTAGGTGTAATGTACTGTAAAAAAAAGAATAAAAAAAAAATCAATCAAAATCAATTAATTAAAATAATATAATATATTTAAAAAAAAAACAATACCCAGCTTTTCCACCGAAGTCGGTGGAAAAGCTGGGCAATTAGTCAAGAATAAAGAAAGGAGAGGCACAAGAAGTAAATGGAGGAAGAAATAAGGGGTGGGCATTAAATTGAAGTAGGAAAAATAGGGGATGGGGTAGTTAGATGGTGAAGGAAAATAGGATAAAAGAGGGGGAGAGGAGACGAAGGAGGAAGAGAGAAGAGAGTGAGAAGCAAAGAGGGAAAGAGAGAAAGCTAAGTTGCAGAGCACCTGACAAGTTTTGGGGATTATTTAGGTACACAAAACTACTTCTTTTTATCAAATTTCCTTTATGAATATTTCCTATATATTTATAGCTTTATATTATTATTATCATTATAATGTTTAGAGAAAATTTTACCGTTTGGGTATAGAGTAAATATGGAGTTTTGACAATATATGATCATAGAAATTTAAAGATCCATTATTAAGGAATTTTAATCAGTTTATTTTTGTTTAATGATTACTTTGAGAATTTTAAACTAAGATTTTAGTTGAAAAGTTTGTTATTTAGACTTGTAATATGTTTTTACCGATTAAATTTGAGTTAAATAATTTATTTGAGTTACTTGATATATTATTGAGGTTTTAATCAGTTTAAATATTGAATAAGTTAAATATATATTTTTGAAATAATTTTTGAAGGCTTGAAAAATTATAAATTGAGAATTTTGTGAAATTAAATAAAGCTACAGTTTGTTTATAATTAAAAATATATATATACTTTTGTTAAATTTAAATAGCCTTATATGTAAATTATTTTTCAAAATAATATCTATTATAAATGCCTAGATTTAGGAGAGTTAATATATTTATGTAATTTTGGTTTAGAGGGTAGTCTTAGAATTTTAGAGTAGCTTTGGAGTAGTTCTGAGTTTATATTAATAAATATTTATGTGTAATTTTGTAGACTTAAGAATTTTGGAGTAATCTTTGTGTGAATATTTGTAAGCTAAAGAGTACCAGGTAACTCTGAAAATTCTTTCTGGTACATGTGAATTGTGTATGATTGTATTATGAATTTACTGTATTTTTATATATTGAAATATAATATTGTGATTTTTCAAATGAATGTTTTGGTATGTTATTTGATTTTGTTAAGATTTATTGCTGTTAATTATGATTAATAATTAAATATATTGATGGCTATGGAATTGTCATGAGTTGTTATTAAATGGTATATAAGTTTTATTGCTATCTTATTTTTAATATATTTGAGGACGTATTTATGATGTAATATTATTGGCATCTGACATGCATTGTTGGGCTAAGGATAGAAGGAGATTGCATGGATATAAAATTACCACGTGGTTTGCCATCACTCAGTGCACAGTGGATGGCACTTGTCAGGGCCCCTTCTTCCATGTTTTCCTTTGGCCGGGAATTCATTGGAGCTGTGGAACATGTGACACCTCCCTATTCACAAAGGAGGGGAGCCATAGTCCGAGCTTGAGCTCTATATCTTTGGCCGGATATATCTCTTGTATCGGTGAGCTTGGAATAATTCAGTAAAATGGATTAGTTCTTATCGGACTATGTGTTAGCCTATGGCTCCAGTCAGCGGTATAAGGGTGGACGGTGATATAAGGGAGGCAGCATATTGCATTATTTTTGGATATATTAGAAAAATGATATTAGTATATTGTTGGAAAAAATAAAATAAAATTTAATTGGATGTCCCAAATCCGTGATTTTTAATATATTTATATACACACATATAAACGGATTTTTGGTTTATCATATATGATTTGCTTGTATAGGTTAGAATGTCAGTAGTTACTAAGACGTTTGATCTCACCCCCTATATTAACAATTTTCAGGCGAAGGATCTAGTAGAAATCAAGGGAAGGCACCAATGGAGTGAGCCGTGAAGGCTTCTGTGCTCCTCAAGCACATGATATGTTATATTTTTATTTGCCATGACTATAAGACTTCAATAGTTTATGTTGTTAAGTTATGTTAGAAATGTTTTGAAATTTTGACTTATTTGTAATATTAAAAATATGTATGGACTTTTAAATTAAATATTTTATCGAGTATATTGATATAATTATGTGAGGTGTTACATTAGGTCCCTAGGTTGATCTATACTCTCCCTGAATGCTTTCCTGCATCTGTTTTTCCAGATGACCTGGCAAACGGTTCCAAAGATTCTGTTGCACGGCCATCTTGTAAATTTCCTGCCTCCTGGGTTGTTCTTCATGTTCCACCGCAACCACACCTGTAAATTTCCAAAGAAAAAAACAAAATAATAAAGAGGGTTAATGATAAGTAACCACACTCTTTTTGCTACCTCACAGCGTCTCAAAGTATGAAGTGTATTTTCCTCCCAATCACACTCAAAGGGCCATTCATTGTTTTCATTAGGACGCTCATCACTTACTCTATTTTTTAAATATCTAAGTAAATATTGTTGTTGTTGTTGATAAAATAACATTGATGCAATATTATTGTTTCTAAAGTTGCCGGTTACATTTTAGACAGTTATATTTTTCAAGTTGGAATATTATTTGACTGATGACTATATATAATGTTTTTTAAAAATTAAATATTTTAGATATTTCAGTTATAAAAATCTAAAATCCAAAACCATTCTATTAACTAAAAAATGACAAAATGGGCCATTTCTCATCTATAAAATAATGCTCACACTTATTTTTCTATTTAAAATTATTGAAGAAGCAAACAACAACAACAAAACAGGAAGGTATGAGAGAGAAATTAAATATCTTTTTAAATTATTGAAACTGTATAGATAAAAAGATAATTGGTTAATAGGATTGGGAAGTTATATTATTTTTGTATTATCTAATTTAAAATTTAAAATATTTATTAACACTAAAATTAATGTAAATTTCAAATTTTAAAAATATATCATGGCTGTTATATTTTTCTTGATTTTTAGAATCAAGAAAGTTATTTCATGCAATTTAAATGAGAATAAACAATAAATATGGAATAAATAACTCTTGTTAACTTTAAATTTAAGATATTTTTAAAGATAACTTTTAATTCTAAAATGTAAATAACAACTCAACTAAAATAATTTAAATAGAAATAATGTGAGATAAGTGGCAAATTCATTATGAGAGATAACTGTCAATTTTTATCAAGATAGGGTGAGGAACGCATAGATAGGGGAGGTGTGCATAAAATTTCAGTTTTTACAAAAATAGAAAAATAAAACATATTTATCTGCATCATGGTGAGACCATTTGGCAATCTCTCATCAGATCTGTTTTGCACCCTACTTTTATATAGTATATATATATATATATATATATATATTTATATAGTGAGCGTCACGCTTCTAGTTAGGCAAAAACAGACCCCACATGTATGCCAACAAAGTCTAGACCTTAGATTCAAATTCAATACGTTTTG